GCAACACAGTCTCTCAGTTTGCATTAATAACGCAATTCAGAATAAAGTTGTGCTGTGTCTTGGAAGGATAAATAGCAGAGGAATTAGGAGGTGTAATTGGGTGTCTCATTCTCCACATCACCTGTTTCTTTACCCAGGGCCACACAATCGGGGGTGGGGAGGGGGTGGGGATCGGATGGCAGAGCAAAGCGTTTAACACAAGTTCTCACTCCTAGACTGTGTCTCTGAAGATCAGAGCCCTCAGGCTTGGTCTCCTCTTGCTCCTCTCATGACTCCTTTTCCTCTAGAATTCCTGCCTCCCTTTCCTAATCACATTCCCAGCTGGAGGGCAGGGCGATCCTAGGACTTTGCTTCCGTTCAAAAGGGAGGAAGTGATGATCCAGTAGTTAAGCTATAGAGTTCAGGGCCAGAAGTCTGACTGCCTTTATATCACAGGCCGCCAACACCACTCAGCACCTGCTCCCTAAACCCAACAGCTATTACAGCTCACAGGAGACTAGACTGCTATATGCCACAGGGAGAGAACAGGAGGGACCGAGGTGCACCAATGCCCGAGGCCCCCTCAAAGTCAGGGAGATGATGAAGTGAGATATACCCAGATAATCCTGGTAAGTGATGCACACCCACATGCTGTGGAGGAAGCTGGACCCCTCCCCCCACTCCCGGTCACTGCTAATCTGACCTGGTGGGAAATTCCTTTCTGACCCCCCACACGGCGATCTATTAGACCCTGAGCATGTGAGCAAGAACCAGCCAGCCAAGCCCCTGAGAGAGAGAGAGAAAGCTCAGTGCCACCTGAAGGCACTGGCCCTCCCCATCCAATGTCCGATCTCCAGCCATGGCCGTCCCTGATTCTTCAGAGGAAGGAAACAAAAATACAAAACCAAACCAAAAACCCTCCCAGAAAACATGCATGGGGAAGGAATAATCCCTTCCTGACCCCTGCCAGTGGCCAGCTGGAACCCTGGAGCATGAACTTTCGGAACATAAGACAGAAACCAGAGGGCTGCTGAGCCCTGCCCCCACCATCACAAGGAACCCTATCATACAGTCACACTCATCAGTTTCTCCATCTCGCTCTCAAAACTAATTAAGTTGTTTTCTCCCCCAGCTCCTGTTGGGAGGCTGTTCCAGAACCTCACCCCTCTGAGGGTTAGAAATCTTCTTCTAATTTCCAGCCTGAATTTGTTTGTGGCCAGTTTATCCCCATTTGTACTTGTGCCAGCATTGTCCTTCAGTTTAAATAGCTCTGCACTCTCCCTGGTGCTTACCCCCCGATGTATTTATAGAGGGCAGCCAGATCTGCTCTCGGCCTTCTTTCTGCCTGGCTAAGCAAGTCGAGCTCTTCCAGTCTCCTCTCATAGGACAGGTCCTCCGTTCCCCTGACCATCCTCAGAGCTGGTCTCGCCCCCTGTTCCAGTTTGAGTTCATCTTTCTTGACCAGAATTGCACACAGTATTCCAGGTGAGGTCTCACCAGAGCCTTGTGCAATGGCATTAATACTCTGTCTCTGTCCCTGCTGGAAATGCATCTCCTGATACATCCTAGAATCACATTTGCTTTTTCACAATCGTATCACATTGCTGGCTCATAGTCATCCTCTGACTGAGCCTCACATCCAAGTCTCCATCCTTCTTTTCGCTTCTAAGTGATGAACCCCCAGCTTGTAGCAAAAATTCTTAATATTAGACCCTAAGTGCATGACCTTACTTTGTACTATTTCTGTCACTAGCCTGGGACTCAGAAGACCTGAGTACAGTTACCTGCTCTGCCACAGACTTCCCGTGTGATTTTGGGCCAATCACTTCGTCTTTCTGTGCCTCCGTTCCCCCCATCTGTACAATGGGGATAACAGTCCTTCCCTGGCTCACAGAGGAGTTGGGAGGATAAGTAGATTAAAGATCATGAGGAGCTCAGATACTGCAGTAATGGGGGTTGTAAGTAAAGCTACATTTTAGCAGAGGTATTTTTATTGAAAGTCACAGACAGGATGCAGGAAATAAACAAATCATGGAAATGTACACAGGACTGGCATTAGGGGGTAGCAATCAGGGCAGTTGCCTGGAGACCCCCGCCACAGGGGGCCCTGTGAAGCTAAGTTATAGGTGGCGGGGCTGAATTAGTGGAATTTTGAGGAAGTCACAGAAGTCTCGTAAAATCACAGAATCTGTGACTGATTTTAGCCTTAGTTATAAGTAAGGCTACGAGTCTGTCACAGATTCTGTGGCTTTACTGGGCCTCTGTGACTTCTTCAGCTTCAGCGCACCGTAGCAGCGGGGCTGGAGCAGCTATCTGCCCCCCGCCCAGGAGCAGTGGCCTGGGGCTGGCAGTCAGCCCCATCTCCCGGAGCAGTGACCCAGGGCCAGCAGTCAGCCCCTGGGGCTGGAGCATCGACCACCACCACTGGAGTAGTGGCCTGGGGCCAGGTCAGCCCCCAGAGCCGGTGGTTAGCTCCTGCTGCCGGAGCATTGGCCCAGCGCCGGTGGTCCCAGCGGTCAGCCCCCATCGCCAGAGCAGGGGCCAGTGGTCAGCCCCCAGGGCTGGTCAGCAGCTGCCCAGAGCCAGCAGTCAGCCCCTGCTGCAGGAGAAGCAGTCCTAGGCTGCCGGAGCAGAGGCTGCCACTGCTGGGTTGCCCCCAGGGGCCGCCGGAGCAGCGAAGTAGCATCCAAGGCTGGAGCAGTGGCCGGTGGGGGTTCCACTTTTAGTCCCCCCCCGGTGTCTTTAGTAAAAGTCGTGGACAGATCGTGAGGTTCCGTGATTTTTTTTTATTTTTAATTGCCCATGACTTGTCTGCGACTTTTACTAAAAATGCCCATGACAAAATCTTGGTTGTAAGTGTCTAGATAGAAGTGTTGTCTTGTGAGTCCTAGCTCCTGTTCCCAGCTCTGTCACTGTGTGCTGCAGTTTTACTCAGCTGAAAACGTACCTACTTCATGGGGATGTTGAGGCCTAATTAATGTTTGCACCGTGTGTTGAGATCCTCAGCTGAACGCCACTAGAGCAGTGTGAGGAACTGTATTTATTGTTCTCTGTTAGTTATGCTTTTTGTATTGGTTCGTGCCTTTTGATTCCTGTACTCAGTTTCTTTTTCACTGTAGCTTCTCTTGTCTGGCTTCTCGGAGCTGAATCTCCCTCTCGGGCTATTCCAGCTTCGCTCCTGGGGGCCAAGTGTATGGGAGGCTGGTTCTGCCGCAAGGCCTAGGAATCTCGTGGCACATCCCCTCTGTGCAGAAATGCTGCTCAGCTGGTGGATGAGATCTGCAGCTTGACAGGGAACTGGAGTGCAAATGGGAGTCGATTAGCTCTTAGCTTTTTTTTTTTTTCTTGAGGCAGAGATAAATTGCCCTGCTCTCCGTTTGTGTGGCATTTGCTCCAGTCGGAAAAGGGCAGTAAGTGGCTCCTCTGGGATGTCACAGATTCCATTGCCCATACTAGCGGCAGCAGTAATTTTGCCTGGTGTCGTGTAGCTTCAAAATAAAAATGTGCAGCAGCTGCCTGCGGCCAAAGTCCAAGTGGAGGTGTGGGGTCCGGAGACTCTGGTCTTCCTGCAGGATGATTGAAATGAAGTGCTGCAGTGCAGACGGCTGAGCCGATTCGCTGCAGGCTTTGGTAGCTGGTACCATGAATAAATTGAAATGAATAAATCCCTAATTCATAGAGGAAACTGCTCTTTCGTACCTTCGATACACCTAGGCTAGATCATTCATAGGTAACTCCAGACTTGTATTTTCAAGCTCTTTCCAAAACGGGGCACATGCGTTATCCCCATTGTATGCACAGGCAAACTGAGGCACCAAGCAGGTGTCTTTCTTTCCTGAGGTCACACATCGAGGCTCTGGGAATAGAACCCCGGGTCTGCTGACTCCCCACCTCCTGCCCTAGCTGCTGGGACCATGCTGCTTGTGTATGTACTTGGGGGGTGTCTGGGTTTTTATTATACCCTTCACCCCAACATGCAGACACAGCTGATCAGCTCCCAGTTCCTGCCATCTCCCATGCTGCAGGCACCATTTCCAGTGAAGGGATCTCCACTGAGCAAGGACAGAAAAATCATTGTTGTATGGTCCTCATCACACTCTCAGCAGGGAATCTACTGTCACATCCATCAGCCCCATCTGCAGCCAGAGAGCTTTTCCATCCACTGCCCTTCTTCCTGGCCTCACCACCACAAGCAAGGAGAAGGGGCTGCCGTTTCCATTTCTGCTCCCTGGGAGTCGGGGAGCCAGCACCACTTGTCATGCTGCTTCTTCCCCTGTTTGCCACTTCTGCCACTTCCTGGCTACCTACCAACCCTGCCTCAGCACGTTGGTCCTTATTTCTTTGGGCCATCAGGTCCCCAGGGCCTCCAGGGTGAGTCATGTTTGGCCCTTCAAGTCCTGGGATCCCCTTGAAATAATCTAAGGCTTCTGGGGCAGTGGTTGCTGCATTTTGCAGAGGGGTGGAGGAGGAGATTTAGGCTTGCAGCTGCCAGAAGTGTATTGAATTCAGTCCATTGCTGCTTGATGCAGCATCTTTTTACAGGCAAGGAGGAATAACTCTGGCTGCAGTTTTTGTACTGGAGGCCCAGGAGATTATGATATGGCCATAAACTGTCTGTCTAGAGCTCGTCAAGCCTGCAGTATGACAGATAGACTCCTGTCCAGCTCTGTAGCGAAAATGCTGCAGAAGGCAATGGCTGCCTTCCTTTGCTAACACTACCCTGCACTTGCCTTCCGCCTGAGGATCTCAAAGCACTGTGCACACGGTAATGAATGAAGTCTCCCAACCCCCGAGGTGTTACGCTCATTTAAGGCACAGAAAGGGGAGCTGATTTACCTGAAGTCACACAGCAGGTCATTGGAAAGGCTAGGGACGTAACTAAGGAGACATGAGACCCCTCCCCTCTCACTACTGGTGGACAAGGTTACTAGAAAAGCTCTGGGCTTTGTTTCCTTTGCAGGATCTTTTAGGCAATGCTTGTGGACTTTAGCCAACTGTTCTTTCTTTGTGTCCTTTTTCAGCCTTAAGAGAAAATCTCCATTCACCGCTGTGTAGAAAATGTCTTATGGTTCCATTGATGGGAGCGGATTCGGAAGCCGGAACCCCTTTGGAGGCCCATCGAGACAAGGATATCAACCCCTAGGTAAAGTATTGATTGCGTGCTGTACTTTATCCTACCTGACTACGCTGGGGAAGGCAGTTTTAATTGCTAATGTATAACAAGGCTGATGTACCTCAGTAGACAAATGCTACGCTATATGATAGATCATTTTGTGTGGTGATTAGGTACAAGGAAGTCTAGTTAAAGATCTCCTCCAGCCCCTCTTTTCTGACTTCAGTACTGAGAGCTAGACAGAAGATGTGAGTTGCTTTCCAAGTGCTCTCACAACACATCATAAAATATCAAGACACGTCATGCAATAAGTCATAGGAATGTAGCATTGCCTAGGCAAATTATATTGTTGGTCCCTCTAGACTAGTGGTTCTCAAACTTTTGTACTGGTGATGCCTTTCACACAGCAAGCCTCTGAGTGCGACCCCCCCCCTTATAAATTAAAAACACTTTTAAAAATATATTTAACACCATTATAAATGCTGGAGGCAAAGCAGGGTTTGGGGTGGAGGCTGACAGTTCATGACCCCGCATGTAATAACCTTGGGAACCCCTGAGGGATCCCGACTCCCAGTTTGAGAACCCCTGCTGTAGACCCTGCAGTAGCCAGTACCTGATGCTTCAGAAGAAAACATACATCACCACTGCGCACCTAGTTACTGTGCAGTGCTATGTAGTGTGTGATTGTTCCCTGAGCATCATGCTGCCCTTTCAAAGCACATGATTTAATCACCATTGTTCAATCTTTTAGGGCTATCTTGTGCAATCCTTATGTTGAGGATCAGTTGTGCAAATAGTCCCGCTGACTTCAGTGAGGCTGTTTGCATGAGTAAGTAGTGACCAACAAGAGTAAGGGCTTGTCTGCATTGCTGGGTAACACGTGTTACTGGGGTGTGATTTCCAAAGCGCACGAATGTGTTGCACATTAATTGACCCGTTCAGACCTTGCTGGTGCACTAAAGGTTCCTTGGTGCACTGAAAAAGATAGATTAATAGAGCTGAAGGCCAGAAGGACCAGCAGATCATCTAGTCTCACCTCCTGTCTCTCCCAGGCCACCAGCACCCGCACACTAAACCTAATAATTGAAATTAGACCAAAGTATTACAGCCCACAGGAGACAAGACTATTATGTGCCACAGGCAGAGCTAGGAAGGAGGGAGGTGCACCAGTGCTTGAGGCCCCTGCAGTGGCAGCATAATGATTAAGTGAGATATATCCAGATAATCTTGGCAAGAGACCCGCACCCACGTGTTGCAGAGGAAGATGAAAAACCCACAAGGTCACTGTCAATCTGACCCAGGGGGGCATTTATTTCTCTGTTCCACATATGGTAGACCCAGAGCATCTGAGGAAGAACCAGTCAGCCAAGCACCTGCGAGAGAGAGTGAATGCTCAATGTCACCTCACAGTCCTGGCCGACGCTGTCCTGGGTCCCATCTTTCGCCATCTGCATCCCTGATGCTTCAACGAAAGGGGACCAAAAACTCGCCCAGAATGCACTGCGGGAGAGGAGGGGAGAAATCTCTTTCTGACCCTTGCAGGTTGACCATGGGAATCCTTGAAGCACGAGCTTTTAGTAATATAAGACAGAAAGAGGAAGTGATCCCCACCCAGGGCAGTGTGCTGAGCTCTGTCTCTGATCATCACAAGCAGTCGTGAATTTGGCCAGCTCTCTCTGATTAAGTTGTTTGGACTCATGGCTCCTATTGGGAAGCGGTTCCAGAACCTCACCTCTCTGATAAAAACCTTCTTCTAATTTCCAGCCTGAATTTATTTATGGCAGTTTATACCCATTTACGCTTGTGTAAGCATTGTCCTTCAGTTTAAATAGTTCTTCACTCTCCCTGGTGTTTACCCCCTTGATGTATTTATGGAGAACAAACATATCACCTCTCAGCCTTCTTTCTGCTAGGCTAAACAAACCTAGCGTTTCCAGTCTCCTCTTGTAGAATAGGCCCTCCAGTCCCCTGATCATCCTAGTAGCATTTCTCATTACCTGTTCCAGTTTGAATTCATCCATCTTGAACATTAACATAATGCTGTTCCAAGTACAGTGCAGCACCTTAGTGTGCTTTAGAAATCACACCACGGTCACGCATGTTCCTGTACGGTGTAAACAAGCCCTTAAGGATTGCACCGCTGGGCTCTTAATTTGCACCGCTACTGATGTTGACAGTGCTCTCAATCTTATTTAGCTCCAGCGACAATATTTAATTCAGTAATATCTTGCAACAGTGAGTTCCCCAGGTTGGCTTGTGGTCTAGGTGAAGATATATTTTTGTGATTCTGTAGTTCCAGCTTTGCAATATCATTGGCTGTCTGCCTTGTTCTAATATAACAGGATGTGTGAGGAATGCTGGAGGCTGCTCAGTTTTCACGGTATCCTCAGTCTTGGGGTGTGATCGAATTACTGTGTTGCATATTATGATGCTTGCTTTTGCATGTTGCATGGTGGCTCATTCTGCTGGGTTTGATTCATGTATCAGTCATTGAACTAGTGCATATAACATGAGTAGCATGGGTGAGAATTTAGTGTACAACGTTGTTTACCATATATGTTCAGCTGGGGTCTTTTGCTTGCAGCGTTTTTAGAGGCATTGTGGGGACTGGAGATAGAGCATTTCACGGGCAGACATAGGATTCTGTTCCTGTCTTCTAGGTGTATTTATAATGGGAGTGATTGGAATGATGTGCAGAGGGAAGCTGGGCATGATGTGTCCACCGTGGGTAGTTTACCTCACAGGGATGCTGCATCTAATCTGTGCAGCGTGCTATTACATTACAGCAGTGGGCACAGAGAGTCACTCGGTAAATACATGCAAACCCAGAAATAACATTTAGCAAATGGCTGCACTTTTCTTTTTTAACCAAAGCTCAGAAATAATCTCCCTGGCCTCCCACCCCCTTCTTTCCCGAGGGGCTTTGGAAATGGTAAAGTAAAAAGAGGCAAAGCATCCAGATGTCAACCTGTATGTTTTAAATGGTCTCTAATGCACAGTGTGAGGCTGCACTTTATAAACACAAACTCATTATACAACTGTCATGACACAAAGGGGAGCTAATGACTGCGACCTCATGCTTTAGCTTTCTGAAAGAATTTGCTTTTGTGCCTGCCCTCCTCTGAGGCAGACAGTTATAGGAAATGTGTATCCCTATCGGGTATTATGGGGGAAAGAGGGTGGCAGACTTTTCTGCTCAGATACCACGGTAATGAGTGAGCTATGGAAACCTGGAGAGAGCCGGGGGCAGGAGCATGGGGGTGTATAGCATTACTGATGGCAAGGCTGCTTTCTCTCCACTCATAATGATGGGGAGCTGATTCCTTGGTGCATTCCCATGTGTGCGGAGGGGGGTATCCTAGTGTATAGTCCACCTGGTGGTCCTAGAGCAACATGGAGAGGCTGTGATGCAAGGGAAGATTCACACCTCTAGAGGAGCTGCGATAGGCTAGGCAAAGAGGAGGGAGGAGGGCCCTGCCTATCCCAAGCCTATCCTAATCTCAATGCACACGCCCCCTAGGTAATTTTGCTGTCATTGTGCATCTTCAGCGCCATTGAAGGGCTGACGTTTGCCATCTTAGCAGGAGACCAAACTACTTTGTGTACATTGCTATACAGTGGGTGGAAACACTCAGATGTTCCAGGAAGGGGGCTCAAAAACGGACCTAGACAGGTGCTTTTTGGAGTTTTAAAGTCTACATATTTTATTCTAGGGATTACATCCGTTTAAAAATCATCCATTTTAAACCAGCAAATTATCTTCCCTCTGTCACTAATTATATATAGGTGATCAAAGCAGAAGGAGTTTTATAAACCCCATTTGCTTGTCACAGTTTGTGCTGGTTGATTTAGTGTGAAATCCACCCCTGTGCAGAGAGCCTGGGTGAAGCCTATGCACCATGGTAGAGGCTTTGTGCTAGCACTTTGCAAATGGGCTGAAAATGTTCCACGAGGAATGTTTCCTTGTGTCCAGTCAGGTGTTCCCACGAGAAGGGAAATAAAAAGTGGAAATGTTTTCTGGGTTTTGGTTTTCTTATGAGTTTTGGCTTTTTTTTTTTTTAAACAGAATTTTAAGTACTGAGCCAAATTCAAGTTTTTAGTTTTAAGCAAATGCTCCTGGAAGGATTAACTCTCTGGAAGTGAAGCAGAATGGGGTATTCTGGGAAGCCAAAGAACAGTGACCGCAGAAGCCCAGAACGCAGGGCTAGGTTAGTGTTGAGTCTTTGTAAGATGTTATCTGGTCCACAAAACTTTGACATGGAGTCCACTCTGAACTCTAGGGTACAGATGCGGGAACCTGCATGAAAGACCCCCTAAGCTTATTCTTACCAGCTTAGGTTAAAAACTTACTCAAGGTGCCAACTTTGCCTTGTCCTTGGACCCTATGCTGCCACCACCAAGCGTGTTAAACAAAGACCAGGGAAAGAGACCTCTTGGAGACGTCTTTCCCCAAAATATCCCCGCAAGCCCTACACACCCCCTTTCCTGGAGAGGCTTGATAATAATCCTCACCAATTTGTACAGGTGAACACAGCCCCAAACCCTTGGATCTTAAGAATAATGAAAAATCCATCAGGTTCTTAAAAGAAGAATTTTAATTAAAGAAAAGGTAAAAGAATCAGCGCTGTAAAATCAGGATGGAAAATACTTTATAGGGAATTCAGATTCAAAACACAGAGGATCCCCCTCTGGGCAAAACCTTAAAGTTACAGAAAACAGGAATAAACCTCCCTCTTAACACAGGGAAAATTCACATAAAACAAAAGATAAACTAATCCGCCTTGCCTGGTTTACCTATACTGGTTGCAATATTGGAGACTTGGATTAGGATGGGTTGGAGAAGATGGATTTCTGTCTGGCATCACTCAGTCCCAAGAGAGAACAAACAAGTAAACAAAGAGCACAAACAAAAGCCTTCCCCCCCCCCCCAGCACCCCCCAAGATTTGAAAGTATCTTGTTCCCTTATTGGTCCTTTGGGTCAGGTGCCAGCCAAGTTACCTGAGCTTTTTAACCCTTTACAGGTAACAGG